TTCTGTGTCCTTGATTTAGGAACTTGATGCGTGTCTTTAGGAAGTGAAGTTCACTGTCACTTTCTGTGGGTTCGTGCCTCTGGGAAATCCTTGTACAAAGCCAAGTTCAACAGACACTGTTGGGAAACCTGCTAGGTTGCATGTGGACCAATATGGATGATACATCGCTGTTTTAGGATTGCTAATCAGGGCTGAGGTACAAAATTTCCTGTTTCTTAAACCATCTTTGTCTGCTTCTGCCACCCACATCTGTATTCCTGCTGAGTCCTGATATGTCAGAGGAACTGTGAGATGCTAGATGACAGCAAAGGAGCCCCATGGGCTGGGATTGATGAAATGGGTTGAAATAGTAGCTGCCTTCCTCAGGTCTGTGAAAAACCCCATGCACATTTAAGATGGGAAATATAAGACAGATATCCCAGGGGGCTGGTTATCTCTAAGTCCTTTGTGCATGCCTGGAGTGATGCAAGGTTGCAGAAGTCATCACTTTAAAAAAAAGATCTATTTGATTAAAACGAAGAGAGAGAGGAGAGAGAGAGAGAATCTTTCATACTTCCATTCACTCTCCAAATGGCAACAATGGCTGGAACTAGGCCAGCCTGAAAATGGGAGCCAGGAGATCCTTTTAGGTCTCCCACAGGGGTGCAGGGGAACAAGCACTTGGAGCACCCTTTGCTGCTTTCCCAGGCACATTAGCAGGGAGCTGGATTGGAAGTGGAGCACTTGGGATGCAAACTGGCATTCACATGTGATGCTGGCACTGCAGGTGAAGGCTTTACCTGCCATGCCACAGAGCCGGTCTCAGAAGTCATCACTTTTAGTTGGCAGCAAACAACCAGAGCAGGCACGTCTGTGAAGAGGAGCCCTCAGGTTCCGCCTATTTCTGGCCTTTTCAGGGAGTCGGCTTCCTGCTGCTCTAAGTCTCCGTGAGGCTGGGCGAGTTATACACAGAAGAGGTTCGTCCAGCTCCCAGTTCTGCAGGCTGGAAGTGCAAACATGTGGAGCTAGCACCTGCTTGGACTCTTGCAGCTTCAGCTCCTGCTGGAAAGCAGAAGGGCTGGAGGATGTGTAGAAGAGAGAAAAGGGTCGGAGTCCCATGATAGTTAATCCATTCTCCTGAAAGCATGCTGCCGTGTTCTCCATACCCACATGGCTCCCACCAGACCCCATATCCCAGCACTGCCTCAGCAGGCACCAATCCTCAGCTTAAGTGTAGGTGGGGACAAGCCATATTCCAACCGCAGCAGTCAGTGTGTCCACAAAGGAGGGAAGCCAGGAAGCCAAGGTGGTTGGAGATGAAAGCCATGTAGTCCTCTGCTGTGGCAACTGGCGCTCTTGGAAAAGAAGCCACACTTGGAAGGCTGTGAGAGCTGCCTGCAAAGATTTAGAGATGGGGTCTGGGCAAGGTGTGAGGTCTGCTTGGTGTTGGAGATGGACAGAAGTGAGAAGATGGGTGTGCTCCCTGATGACAGCACTGCTGTTGTAAGCGGTCTCCCTCCTGTCCCAGGTGTGCTGGTGAAGCTTGCTGGGGGTTTTGAAGGCCTTTGTCTACCTGTCAAGGAGGTTCTGTAATCTGCATTAAGTGCTTCAGTTGATCACTTCATTTCCTCTGCAAGGGCTTAAATTTCTCCCCATGCAACAAGGGTTGGAGAGAGAGAGAGATCCTCTGGTTCAATCCACTGACTGGCCAGGACTGGGCGAGGCAGAAGCCAGAAGCCAGGAACTCAATCTGGGTTTCCCATGTGGGAGCAGAGACCCGGACACTTGGGCCATGATTTACTTCTTTTTCATACAGGTTAACAGGGCTTGAAAATGGAGCTGCCGGGTTAGAACCAGCGCTGTGATATGGAATGCCTGTGCGGCAAGCAGAAGTCTAATCTACAGCACCACCACACTTAGCCACCACCATGCTTTTCTTGTGCACAATTTTACGAATTGTTATGTTTTTTTCTTATTGAGTGTGTCAGCATTTTCCTTTATGGTTTCTAGATTTTGTGAAGATAAGTGAAAACAGAATTCTTCCCAGCTTTCTTTTTGTACTTTCATGGTCTCATTACAAATTCAACATGCTTCCAAGGTAGGAGCCAGTAGCCTGACTTAAATTTTGAGCTGTTCCCTGACTCACTCAAATGCCACTTCTTCCTGGTTAATGTTCTCTACCGATGTGCAGCATTGCATGTATCACACAGATCCAGTTCTAAAGTCCAGAATTCAATGAAGAAGTGATTATATGGGAGGTACTGGCTGTGAGGAGAAGGATTTGAGGCTGGGGAGGGGAAGCTGGTCAAGCAGAGAGTGAGAACTGGCACCTGGGGCAGGCCTGGCCCTTGTTGCTTGCGGTGTGCCAAATGTTCCATTTTTGCATTAGCTGAGCTCTGAGGTCAGGATTTGGCTTGGCAAAGTGAGGTTGTACTGAACAGAATGTGAGGGAACAATCTCTGTTATTAAAAACAGGGCAAAATTGGTACCTGAGACCCAAACGGGGATTAAGGGGAATGACACAGAGCTAAATGGTTATTACTCTATGAACACATTGAAACTGTGTTGCTCAGTAAAATGCACTCTGCTAAAACAGTGAGGGAAAATGGGAACAGCTATATTTAAAATTAGGCTTTGGAGTTAAAGTCACTCATTTCAGGCATCTCAGCGTTGCCATCACGGATAGTTTTGACACATTTCTGTTTCCATGAGAGATGGTTGAAGTGAGGATGAACACACACACGTGGTAGCGTATGCATGCTAGCGGTGAACTCATGCTGATTATGAAAAGGGAACATATTTCTTTGTGTTCTCAAAAGGTTATTTGGAGGACAGCTTGGGGGATTGAAGGTCTGCTAGATACATGAACCCTGAGAGGTTTGGGAGAGTTGTCACATTTACAAAGCTTGAGGATGAATGATCGAGGCCCTTAATGTCCGTTGAAATCCTAGCCTGCCTTCCTGTGTGATGGTGTCTTGCGCAGACTGCTCTGTTGTTCTAGGGTTTGATGAGCTCATCTTATGGTTGATGTATGATGTCCACTGCCTTCTCGAAGTAGCATGTACTGGCCAGAGGCTGCTGTCACTGCCTTCTGGTCAGGCTGGACACAGGTTGGATGGATGCGTGCCTCTCAGGTAACTGTCAGTTGACAGTGATTGCACTGGGTCTTTTGTGCTCTGTTGGTGGATGGGAAAAGAAATATGGCAGTTGTTAAGAAATGATCCAGGGAGACATTCTGCTGTAAGATACAGCCTACTGGGACCCTCAGAGGTTTAGCTGTCGTGCTGAGCTGAATGTGTCACTTAACATACCGAGCTCAGTGCAGAAATCCACTAAAATGCCCTTTTAAAATGAAATGGATAAGATATGGAAGCGAACGTTTATGTAATTCTGCAAAGGGATGACTCGACCTTCTTCAACATGGAACTTTCTTTAGCAAGTACATTGGATGATTCGCGATTGATCATTTTGAAAGGACTACAGTTAGAATATTATTCTAAAATAGGAGATTCAGAAACCTTAGAAACATCCCTTTCTCACTTTCTTCAAGTCACGATGAATCATAGTTTTCAGTTTTTCTGGCATCTGAACTTTTAGAAAAATATTTCCTCCCTCACTCTCTATAATGAATTGAATGGTAAATGTAAGCTTGGCTCAACAGTCTCTTTCCTAATCTGACAATGACATATTTCTCTTAAAAGCATTGCATTGTGATGGTGATGATTTTCCATCTAGAGGCTGGAAATTAATTTTGAGCTCTGTTCAGCTTGGGACATTTGGAGAATGTTTCTGAGGACCCATTATTTTCTTTCTCATTCGATGTGTCTCCAAACTCCTATTTATTTTTTTTCTATGTTCTTGTATATCCCCCGCCTTTCCCACATGGGAGTTGAGTTCTCCCAGCCCCTTTCTAGGCCCCTAATGTGGACCCATCTTCCTGCTATGCCTCACTGTGGCTGAATCCAAAAGCAAAGCTGTGTTTTCTTTCAAGCTTACCCTTCCTTGTCCACCACCTGCATTTGTCCTCAGCAGCCCCCTTTTGCCTTCTCAGCATCCGAGGCCCTCTGTCACCATGAGATCAGACCCCCATGGGAGGGTTCTGTCCTATTGGGCTCATATCAATGTTCCTTGACTCTAGGGACACTGCCGCCTTGGCCCAGAATGGTGCCCTGGACATGGTAGCTGTCTACCTAATGGCATCACGTGGACCTGCCTTGCACATGGCATCCTGTTCGGCTCACTTGGGATTTCCACTGGAGTTCTTCCCTTTCCATAAAACCTTCCGGCTTATAAAATAGGTCCTCCTTGACTAACATGCGGTGTTGGCCTGACAAAACCGCCATTCCTATTCAAAGCAGAAACAGCTGTGAGTGGAAAATGTATTGAATACCTTGAATCTACTGCATATCCTCGTTTAGCCTCGACTTACTGCCATGTGCTCAGAGCACCGATGTCACTCAGCAGGTAGACTTTGCAAGAGAGGGTGGGGCTTCATGATTCTATCATGGGAAAAGATCAAAATTCGAAGCGCTATGTATAGTTTCTAGTCAATGTGGGCGGCCTTCACACCATCCAAATGCCAAAGACTTGTAACTTGCACCTTGGCAGTTGGTTTGTGCTGTTTATACCCAGAAGCACCAGGAATAAGACTCAGAGGACCACATTCCTTTTCATTGCATCCTAACTCACTGCATGAGGGTCTTGATCCGTAAAGGTGGTCTGTTAGAGTTGGCTCCTGAGCCCTGACTTGTAGCAATGAAGGCAGTGCCAGGAAGAAGACAAGTCATGATACTGGTGTACAACAGCATCCAGAAAGAGCTGGGAGGGTGTCGGTTAGGGTTTGCAAGTGACCCGTTGGTGCTTTGTGAGGTCTTGCTTTGGAGGGTGGTGGGAGACTCGGAATGGGCAGGTCTGCTCTCCAGGCTCTCGTCTCTGGGTGTGTGCCGGTGGTGAGCATCCGAGTACGTCATCCCTGCCCACGTGTGCTGATCCCTCTCATGTCTCTCTCCCTGTCCTCCCAGGGAAGCCATCAGCCGTGTCTGTGAAGCTGTGCCTGGTGCCAAAGGAGCCTTCAGGAAGAGAAAGGTACTGGTGTGGAGGCTGAACAGCTACCAAGGCTTCTCTTAAAGCTCTCCTCATTTCCCCAGGAAGCATTTTCTGTCCTCTTGTCACTGCTAAAAACATAAGAGCTAAAACAGCCCCCCTCTCTTACATGATGGGTGGCAGAGGTGGAGAGGTAGTGGGGAGCTGGCTATCACGTACGAAACACAAACCTGCATTCCTTACCGTGGTTTAGACCTTGAAGACGGCGGTAGTGACAGATAAATGTTCAATATTTATCTCTGTTAGATGCAATTAGGTTAATTAGGAGTTTACATAAATTAATTTTTACTATCAGCTACATTTAATGACCAGCTCATAGAACTCCTATGAATTGAATAATGGGCTCTCATTAGCTGATTTAAGCCACTGGTGGAAATCCACATGTTGATGGCAGTAAAAACCTAAGTGCACAGTTGATAAGTCATGGTGTGAGCAGGGAGCAGGGTTGAGATCAAGTCCAAACCACCTGCTCCCAAGGCTCCTGTCCCAAGACTGTTAGAGGGAAAAAAAATGCATGCATTAAGAGAAGGTACAAAAAAAAAAAACCCAAAACAAATTTCTTTAGTTATGTGTCTGTAAATATGTAACTAAATGTCCTCGTCAAGTCTTTTAAAAATATATTTATTTTTATTTGAAAGGCAGGATTAGAGAGGGAAGGAGAGACAGAGCTCTTCCATCCACTGGTCCTTTCTCCAACGGCTGCAACAGCTGGAGCTGGGCCAAGCTGAAGCTAGGGGCCAGGAGCTTCTTGCTGGTCTCCCACACATGGGCTCTGGGGCCCGAGGCTTTGGGTTATCTTCCTCTGCTTTCCCAGACCACAGGCAGGGAGCTTGATAGGAGGTGGAGCAGCCAGGAAACGAAATGGCACTCATATGGGATGCTGATGCCGAGTTCAACCTCCTATGCCATGGTGCCAGCCCTTCATGTAAACTTTTCTGTGCCTAGACTGAGCGGCAGGAAAAGTGTCCCCAGCCAGACTCTGAGTCTACATGTGAGTGTCTGCTCTTGATGCTGCCTGTTTAGCTCTGCTATGCCCAAAGCACTGTGTTACTTCTGTCTTTGGAGCTTGGGAGCAATTCACACAGCTGCAGGGCTGTGGGTTTCAGGCAGAGAACACTTGGTGAGAATTGAGATGAGCCAGGCCATGTTCTGCTCACCGCTCAGGAATGTTGGGCACCAAATAAGCTGTAGACTTCTGAGCACAGCAGCCCCAAAGGCCTCTGGGAGCAGAGAGCAGGAGTTTTGTCTTTTGTGAGTTGCACTACAAAATCTTGGGACATCCTCCTGGTTCCGTTGGTGGGAGTGGTGGAAACAGTGCTGATTTCTAGGCTGTACCCTGAGTATGTGTGCTCAGAATCTCCCAGATGGGGCCTAGACACTTGTATTTCAACTAGCTCCTTTAGGAGAATAAAAAGCAGGAATAAGAACAGTTGGCATAGCAAAGGAGAAGGTGTCCTAATCCCAGAAAAAAGGATGGTGTGTCCCAAAGGATAGAGAGATAATTGTTGGTGGAGCCCTCTCAGTGTCTGAGAGAAGGCACCTGGCTAGGAAACAGCTTGTTTGTGCCTGGGACAAGGACAGACCTTCATACTGTGATGAAGTGGACATGAGAGCCACACTGTCCTGTGTACATTCAGGTCAGAGGTGTGCTTCTGATCCTGTAGGATTTCCCGTCTACCCCACTAACTGGTCCACATTAGTCTTCCCTCTCAGAGCTGGTTTCACTCGAGTGACAAAGCCAGGCTGACCAGCCATAGCCTGTGACATCTCCCCCAGATTTCCCTCCTAGGGACCCTCGGAAGAGGCCCTAGCGTGGCCAAAGACTGAGCCCTCTGATAGTCCTGACCTTTGCCTAGTAGATGTTCTACAGTTTGCATATGGCATACGCTACCAAGTGCATGCTAGCACCAGTGCTGATCTTTCCAGCTTGCTCTTTCTAGTTCCTGGGCTCAAGGAGGGAGGAGCGGTGAGGGCAACTGCGGGAGCCGGCAGACATGCAAGTGCTTAAGCTCACAGTCCTCTGGTAAATAAAGAGCTGATGAATGCTCTTTGATTTCACAGCCTCCGAGCAAAATGCTGTCCAGCATCCTGGGGAAGAGCAACCTCCAGTTCGCAGGGATGAGCATCTCTCTGACCATCTCCACCGCCAGCCTCAACCTGAGGACACCCGACTCCAAGCAGGTGCGTGGGTACCCAGGCCTTCCAGCCTGCCTGGAACCAGGGGCAGGTGTTCTGCAGGCTGTGAGCCCTCACGGAATACACTTGCATCCTATTTCAGATCATCTGTGAGCTTTGATCGGACTCCTAGAAGGGTCTATGTAATGATGGATGAGACTAGCTCTTTTTAATGCTGTTCTAAATTACCTTTTGTTTTTTTGAGATTAATTTATACCATATAAAAAGGTGATGTATGAGTATTGACGAAACTCTCCTTTTAATGCCCGTGCTCCTGTTTTATCTTCTCCATGCCGTTTTTTCCTCCTTGATTTTATAAGCTGCATTTAATTTTGTCCCCTATGAACCAAGTGGCATTAGATGACATAGAGAAAGTAGATTTTTCTTTGCCTAGTGCTTCAGTGTTTAGGGGCATCTTACAATTCACAGAGCTGCAGATAAATGGGATGTAGGTCTTCTATAGTGAATGCAAGGTGGAATGAATTCAGAGCTGACCAAGGAGGCCCAGCCCTGACATTTGTTAAGGGAAGTTATGTTCGGGGTGGTTGCTCCCTGTGCAGTATCTGTTTTTCAGGTTTCTCTGATTTGTCTATCATGAACTCCTGCAGCTGGAACGAAGAGTATATGGTTAGCTGTTCTGAAGGTTGAATCAGGCAGGCAAAGACAGGAAAAGGCTTGCGTGATGTAAAGGGAGTGGGAGGAAGTGGATGCCTTTCTGGCCCTGCCCTACAATCACATAGGAATGGTCATGTGTTGTATTGGCCAAATTCCAGAGTCCTTCCACATTTTATTAAAAAACGGATTGAAAGATAAGCTTACTTTTGCACAAAAGACCTTTGACGAATCTTCCAAATGTGATAGAAAATGTGTTCTCATGAGATATATGCATGGCTTTCGAATTTTTTTCCAACAAAATAAACTTGCCTAATGCATGTATTTTTTTATTAAATATCTACTAAGAAGTGGGGGGAGAGTGCTTTTATCTACTGGTTGCCTCCCCAAATACCCCCACTCCAGTGGGGGCAGGGCTTGGCCAATGCTGGGAGCCAGAGACTCAATCTGGGTCACCCCTGTGGGTGGCTGGAGCCCAGGGATTTAACCCATCACCACCACTGCCTTCCAAGATCTTCATAACAGCACACCCGAAACAGGAGCCAGAGTTGGGCATCAAACCCAGGCTCTATGGTGTGGGATGCTGGTCGAGTGACGGCTCCATCAACTTACCTTCTAATTCCTCGTGTGATATCCATGTATCTATTTCCCAAACCATAGCTTCCAGTTCCCAGTGTTGGAGTTGCCTTCTAGATGAACGTGAATAACTTTGACAGCTGTCATTGATCATGATTTAGGGAGTACTTTCTCAGGGCTTTCCCAGGAAATCTCCACCCTGGGCTGGAGGCAAAGTTCCAAATAGCTGCGAGGTGACTGGGCTCAGTTCGACTCAGCCAGGGTTGGGGTGCAGGCCACCCAGCCTGCCTCCCTATTGTGCATTTCTTTTTTATACTCAAATTTTTCTAGGCTCCGAAGATTTGCGAGTGCCAACACACAAAGTAGGCATTTAAAAATATCTTGTAGCTCAATTTTATTTGATTTCGAGTTTTATAGGAGCTTATTTAGAGAATCCCTCGGCTGGCATGATGATAGCAGTGTATGGATTCCACCTGCCTGAGAAGACAAGGCCCTGGGAGACTGAGCAGAAATAGACCTGGTTACGTTAGGATAAAGACAAGCGTTTCACTCTTACCCTGTGAAACTTTTCTTCAATGTCATTGCATTGTCTTTAAAAAGATAAAAATAGCATACAAGACTTAACACAGCTTTTTAAATTTGGGGCAGCATCCAATTTACTCAGTGTCTACTAAATTCCACTGTACATTGCAATTTATAAAGCTAATGGAAATTTCCCATTTAAAAATTAACTTGGAATGTCGTCTCGAGTTTTTAAATTGATAAATGACAAGAGTGCTTTAGATGGCACTGACTTCGAATCTTGGGTGCCAGCTTTCTAATGTATATGCAGAAGCACCCCAGGGGATGGAGGGAGAAGGACCTAGCCACCCTGGTTCTCACCCCTGCCCACAGCCTCTCCTATCCTAGCTACAGGATCTGTGTCAGAGGCCCTGTGTGCTTTAGGAGATGGAAGGGACTTGTGGAAGTGTGTGTGTGTGTGTGTGTGTGTGTGTGTGTGTGTGTGTATCTGGCTGAAACATTCATCATGGGTTAGGGCTTGGAGTCCCCACGTTGCAGCACAGCCCTGCTGATGGCTCTGATCCTGTAGTGGGATGACTGCTACAGGTGTGGCCCCTCATGTTGATGTTTTGTGATTGCTCATTTCACCTGGGTACCAACCTGAGGGAAACCTTGTCCATCGTCTGGCCTGACAACCGACGACTGGGTTGCTGAGGCATGCACAGGGAGCTAATGGCACATCTTGTTTCTTGTTTTGGACAGATTATAGCAAACCATCACATGCAGTCCATCTCCTTCGCCTCGGGGGGAGACCCGGTAAGTGTTCTTGGACTCTTACTCTCATCAGGAGTTTCTGAGAGGGACCCTGCTTCAGAAGTGGGCCTCTGAGCCCCCAGGAAGATAGCCAGCCAATCCCCAAAGATCTGTCGGCCTCTCAGTTGCATTTCATTTGATCAGCTCTGGGTGCGGGAAACCCTGAAGGCGCTGGCCCAATAGCAAGTGGCTCCCAGCATCTTCTCACCAGCCATAGGCTGGTCCTGCGTGGGGACTTTACCGTAGGGCCTCCACTAAGGGCCTGTGTCTGAATCCTTGAGATCTCTGTAGAGATTATGATTTTAATTAGTCTGGTTTATTGGTAAATTAAAAGTGACCTTTTCTCTCTCTGAATGTAGCAGGTATTTTTTTCATGGTTTGCTTGGCTAGCAAAGAGAGACTTGCAGAAACACAGGGAGGTAGAAATAGAAAAGGAGGTAGAGAGAGACAGAGGCAGCCATAGGGACAGACAGGCAAGTGAGAGAAGGGGAGAGAGACACCCAGAGCCATAGAGGAGGGAGGGAGACAGAGGGAGAATGGAGAGTGGGATGAGATCGTCCTGTTTCTTCTCTGCGTCTTACATCAGGAAGGTTGAGTCATAAGTGGTTCATCTCATCATGTTTGGTCAGCGGCATTGCGATCTGACGTCAGCACCCAGCTTCAGCGAAGCTGCCTCTGATCCGTACTGACACAAAGGCAGGACTCGGAGGACCACGCCCTGCCCTGGAGATGCCATCTCGGGCTCCCTGGTCAGCCTTTCAGAGAGACCAGGCAGAAGTGCTCCATCACCGGGAGTGGGGTGCAGAGGAAGGGGGGGAGACCACAAAGGCAGGACACAGAGCTCAGCCACGAAGGTTGCTGTATCCCACTGGGCTCTGTCCAGACCAGTCCAAGGAAAATCGCAAAGTTGAAATCATAGAGCAAACTTGGAACCAAACTGATTCAATTGGAAGAAAAAGTTCTGTATGTTCATTTCTCTGGCGTTAAATGGCCCTTTCATAGTTGAACAATGACAGCTTATGAGCAGTGTTTTTGCTATTATTATTGCTCTATATTATGAGGCTGAGTTGTCAGTGGGTCACACCCAGGTTTTACATGAAAGTTTCCTGTTCCCGGATAGCTCAGATAATTTGCACATTATATGAGGATGTTTCAAAACATTTGTAGAAAATGGAATTAAAATTTAAGTTTGCTTCTATGCGCAGGAAGGATACTTGAAAAGTTTGTGGAAAACTCCTGTTTTGAAACATCGATGCAGGACTTTCAATTTTTTAAATTTTCGCACTTCCAACACTTGCTTTTCAATTGCATCTTCCACAAACAGTTGAGGGAGGTTCCCTCACGTTAATGATTTATCTCTGGGCCAGGGATCGTATCTGTTTTGTAGTCTTTGAGTGGAATTTCTCCGGGGCCCCTGCCCTTCTCACAGGGTAACCCAGATGCAGAACCCAGATGTGGGCGTATTGGGAATCCAAGAGACAACAACGTGAAGTGCAGGCCCCAGCTCCGAGTTCTTAGTGGCAGGAAAGCTGAGCTTCTCCCCACCCAGCCGCAGCTGCAGGGACATCGCTCCTACCAGGGCCAGCCTGGGCTGCCAAGGCAGGTTTCCACTTCTGTGTAGAGCTTACGTCTCAGATGCTGAGCCTGGACACTCCGCACAGCAAGGGTTTTACCCATCCTGTTGATGAGTTGGTGGTCCTTTCCTGCCTAGTGGTCCAGGGTGACTGGAGTACCGTTTAGTTGTGTCATTCTGTAGGTTCAAATGACAATGGCCCTTTTCCTTTTCTGTTTATTTTCTTTATTTAAAAAAAAAAAGAGAGAGAGATCTTTTATCTGTTGGCACACTCCTTGAATATCTGCAAGAGTCAGGACTGATCCAAGCCAAAGCCAACAACCAGGAACTTAATCCAGGTCTCCTGGCTGGAGGTAGGAAGCCGAGCATCTGAGCTCCCAGGGCTGCCTTCCAGGATGCGCAGAAGCAAGAAGCTGGCTCCAGAAGCAGAGCTTGGGCTTCAGGTGCTCTGATACCAGATGTGGTTGTTCCAAGCAGCATCCTAACCACGGTGGCATAAATCCATGCTGGCTGTGGTCCTTTTTCACACTTAGTGTGCTGAATTTAAAAATTCTCTGTCATGATTTTCATTTGTTTTTTTTTCTGTTCAATTATTTTTATTTTTAAAGAGAGGAGGAGAGACAGGAAGATGTTCCGTCCAATGGTTCACTCCCCAAGCGGCCGCAATGGCTGGAGCTGAGCCAATCCGAAGCCAGGAGCCATGAGCTCTTCTGGGTCTCCCACGTGGTGCAGGGTCCCGAGGCTTTGGGCCATCCTCGACTCCTTTCCCAGGCCACAGGCAGGGAGCCGGATGGAAAGCGGGGCCGTCGGGATTAGAACCTGCACCCATATGTGATCCCGGCACATGTGCCAGGCCCTGTTAATTTATTATTATTATTCTTGAAGACTCATTTATGCATTTATGTGAAAGACAGACTAGACATTTTCCATATACCGCTTCACTCTTCTGATGTCTGTAACAGCCGGGTTTAGGGCCAGACTGCAGTCTGGAGACAGGAATGCAATTCAGGTCTCCCACACGGATGGTAGGGACCGGAAACTGGGGCCACCTCTTGCTGCCTCCCATGGAATGCATTAGCAGGAAGCTGCAATGGGAGCCGGAGCCAGGACCCAGCCCTCAGCAGTGTCATCTGCTGCTATACCCATCGGTCACCCCTAGGTGGCAGTGTTTTTGAAGCTCCTTGGCTGTTCCAGCATGCCAAGAATGGCTGGAAATGCAGGACCTTGGAACCCGCCCAGGGATGTCATGTCAGGGTCTGCATCTCTAGGCTCTCCTGGAGGATCCTGAACAGCTGCTAGCTAGGCAGGCTCGATTGTTCCGTTCTGTGAGGTTTGTGGTTAGTGCACTGAGTCTGGGTGATGGCCTCTCCCTGCGATGAGTGATGTAACCTCTTGTTTTTCTTCCACAGGACACAACGGACTATGTCGCGTATGTAGCAAAGGACCCTGTTAACCGCAGAGGTAAGCCAGGGGTAGCTCCTTCGATCTCTTATTTGTGCACAGCCAGGCTCGAGACTATGTGCCAAATGATGCTCATTATCCCAACCCCTTTCACCAAAATGAGCACATGTCTCGTTGTGTCATTAAGATCATGGGGCCCTAGCATTTTCTTTTTGCTTTGGAATTGTCATCACTACCCAGTAACCCTCCAGCAGTCTTATGTATCATTTCATAATTCTTTGCTTTCAATTTTTAATTTATTATATTATTTATTTGAAAGAGAAACAGAAACACACACATACAGAGAGAGAGAGAGAGAGAGAGAGAGATCTTCCATGCATTGATTCACTCTCCAAATGTCTGCATCAGCCAGAATGGGGCCCGGCCAAAGCTGAGACCCAGTGACTCCATCCAAGGCTGCTTTGTCTTTCAGTCTCGCTTCTTCTGGAACTGAGAGCAGAATTTCCAGTAAGATACAGAAACGATACAGTGACTTGGGGTGCATAGTCCGTGTGCTAGCCATTGCCTGGCCACAGGATCTGGGCACAGGAGAACCAAGCAGGCCGTTGAGTTAGGTGTCTTGAGGTAGTGGAGACACCTTTTATAGCTAGGTTTAAAAATGTAAGACCTAGTTAAAGTATAAATTGGTAGTTAACATTATAGGTTTTTCTTATGCAGCAGGATGTTTTGAAGTGAGATGGTTTGCTGCCCAGTTAACACTTGTGTGATCACTCAATGATCGCATAGCATTTTTGTGATAAGAGCATTGAACACCCATTGGTCACATACTTCCCCCCCTCCCAGGATTATAACATATCACTGTGCCATGCAATAGCTCTCTCAAAAAGTCTTGCTTTGGTCTAACTTTAAGTGTTTATGCTTTAGACTGCATCTCCCTTCTCCGCTTCACTCTGCTTCCCAGCCTCTGGGAACCACAATTCTACTCTGTATTTCCATGAGATGGACCTCTTTAGACTGGGTTTATAGAATCAATGTAACCCCCACCTAGGCACTAATAATGTTCTTCTCAGAATTAGAAAAATAGATTCCAAAATTTATATGGAATCTAACATAAAACCCTGAGTAGTCACAGCAGTTAACCTTGAGCAAACGAAACAAAGCAAGAGGCATTACAGTATGAAGTATACTACGAAGCTACAATAATTAAAATAGCACGATACTGACACAAAGACACATAGGCCAATGGAACAGAATAGAGACCCTAGAAATAAGTCCATGTGCTTATTACCAGCTGATTTTCAACAAAGACACTAAGAACCAACATTGGGAAAAGGGCAGTCTCTTCAAATATAGTGTTGGGAAAATTAGCTATCCACATACAGAATAAAGCTAGATCCCCCCTCTCATTACACACAAAAATCCACTCAGAATAAACTAAAGACATAAGACCCCAAAGGAAACTGATGGAAGAAAACCTGAGCAGCTTAGAACATTGGAATGGGCAAGGAATTTTTAGAAAAGACTTTAAAAACACACAAAGCAAAAGCAGAAATGGACAAACAGCGTTGCATTATTAACTATTAACTAGCTTTTTACAAAAGGTTATATTTCTTTTACTTGAAAGTCAAACTTACAGAGAGTGGGGAGTGAGAGAATGGGAGAGAGAGAGTTTTCTCTTTGTTGATTCACTCCCTAAGTGGCTGTGATGGCCAGAGCTGGGCTCATCTGAAGCAGTGAGCCAGGAGTTTCTTTCAGTCGCTTGTGGTTACAGGGTCCCAAGGACTTGGGCCTTCCTCAGACGCCTTCCCATGCCATCATCAGGGAGTTGGATTAGAAGTGGAGCAGCTAGGACTAGAACTGGCACCCTTATGGGATGCCAATGCTACAGAAAGAGGATTAAGATGCCTTACCACCTTACCAGCCCAGCCCTCTATTAACTAGTTTTAACTGATCTATAGTACTTGGAAAAAAAAAAAACTATACATCAGAAATTGTCCTGAAAAGAAAAACTCAAGCAAACAGGAAATAAATTGAAAAGGGCATAAATAACATTTACTTATTAAGTTGTATTTCAAGATACAAATAGTGATAGCATAATTAATTAAGAATGCAGTCCTTCCAAATTCAAAATGACTAAGAGAAGCATTTCCAACATGGAAACATGAATTCCTATCTCGTGCTATTGGTGATGACTATATCCAAAGTATTAGGCTACTTCAAAAAAGATCATAGAATGCATATTGTGGGGGGAAAAGAATGTGTAAAGATTTCCACGTATTTGCACTAAAAATCAGCTTATTTTAATTACATTTTTTTCATGAGCTTTCTGAAATGCCCTCAGATTTTTTTGTGCTTTGAAAAATTGACAGTGTAATGCTTTCAGAGCTAATACGACATCGGAAAGTTTTATTTATTTTACTTTATCCTTTAAAAAAATTTATTTACTTTATTTGAAAGGTAGAGTTGCAGAAAGAAGGGGAGCAAAAGAGAGAGGGTTCTTCTATTCATCGGTCCAAACCCCAAATAGCTGGGATTGGATCAAGTTGAAGTCAGGAGCCGTAAACTCCATCTGGGTCTTTCAGACAGGTGTCAGAGACTCAAAGCATTTGGGCCAACATCCGCTGCCTTTCCAAGGGCATTATCAGGGTGCTGGATTGGAAGTGACTTGGACTGAAAGCTGTGCTTACTGTGGGGGTCCATTCCAAGACCCCCTAGTGGATGCTTGAAGCCAAGGCTAGCACTGAACCTTGAAATTTAAGGACTTGTGTGTCTTGACTAAGCACTCATTACACACAGTGGCAGTCACTTCTGCAGTTTGGTGTGTGTCAGCAAAAGACGGATTTATTCATTTTGCTTCACAATTTTCTCAATACAAGACTTGCTCTTACCATAGACCTTCACAGTCTCTCAGCTTACACATTTTCTCTGTTTCCTGTTAGGTAGAGAGTTGTCCTGCCATTTAATGGATAAGCACTGTGATACCCTGAGAATTGTCTGATAACCCAGACAGCTGCCCCATGACTGGTGGTTGGGCAGGGAATGCAGTGTGGATACACTGGGCGGAGGGGTGATGTGCATTCCAGCCAGGATGGAGAGGAAGCTGTGACATTACACTACTGTGAATAGTGTGCCATTTAAAATTTATGATGAGCTGTTGCTAAAATTTCCATTTCATGTGTTTTGAACTGTGGTTGATTATTATAAGCTATGGAGAATGAACTTTTCCTTACACTCCCCTCTCCTTCCAAGCTTACGAAAGATGGCACCCGCAGTCCCTCCTGTCTGGAAGGAGCTGGCTGCAAGGAACACTAGTGCTGGTACAGGGCTGTGCTGCCCCTCCCTCCATAGTATGTGGAAGAGACTTTATGTTGTGACCCAGGACCCAGAAGGCAGAGCAGCCTGGACCAGTCAGACATCCACATGCAGAGCTGCCTGGAAGTGGGTGAGCGGAGTGATGCATCAGATGCGTCAGAATGGCATTGGTGGCCAGTCCTGACTGATGGGGTTGGAGTCACAGGCCAGATGCTCACTTGAGCATGCCTTATACCACTTCCTGGAGGGTCTGCAGGATACTTAACAGGCAAATGGGCAGGGTGTGATGGACAGGTGTGCCTATTCCTATCTGCTTTTTGGGAGGGATGAGGAGTTGGCGTTCTGATAGATGAGATGAAGCTGGATACTGCTATAATAAAATAATGTAATATTAGGAGTCAGTACTAAAGACCCAGCAGGATACCTATATCTCTGTGGAAGAGATTCTAGACCATAGTTAAAACAGGACTGCTGTGTTCAAGGAACAGCACACGCACTGAAGCCACAATGTATTCATGCCTATTCTTCCCAGAAAATGCTTTCTCCCGTAAACTCCCTACAGAAGCAGTCCCAAGTCCCTGCTAGGGGACAGCAGCCCCTATGGAAATGCACTTCCTCATGGTGAGCTTAGAGCTGGGGCACGTTTGTGTTAGGCTGACTCAGGTACACTGTTGTCTGTTTATAGAAATCTGAGCTGCTTTGGGATTTGTCCACTGCTGCATAGCTTCAGCTTGATGATGGAGCATTTGGTAGGAGTGGCCCCATTCTGCTTGGATCAGTAGGAGATGGTCCACAACCTTGCACACCAATCGAGTTGATTAACTTGCTGCTCCTGAGCATGAGCTTATGGGCCCCTCTGAAAGGAGAGGTGGTTGTGGTTGGGGGGCAGGGCTGTGACTGTTCTGGTGGGGCCATGCACATGCTTTGGGGGACTGGATGAACTTTTCAGACTCGGAAGTAGGACTTCCTTCTGAGTTTGGGGGCTCGGAGGCCCTCACACTTCTTGCTCCATCCTGCCCTCTTTCCTGAAGACCTTCCCTGGATTACCTCCACAAGCACAGCATGTCCTCATAGCCAGCCCCTGCCAAGCAGCAGGAGGACTGCTCTGGGCCTCTCTGTTGGTCCTCGCTGTGATCTCGCCGCATGACCAATGTTGACCTACTCTTTCCATGAGCTGCCTTTCTAAGAAATGTGTGTAAATATGCATCCTGCAGTTTAGGGTCATGCACTTGGCATTCAACTAGGGTGGTTGTACCGATTTGCTTTTGAGTTACTGCCCCTTTGCAGTCATGTGAGAAGGTTACACTTAATGCTCTGAGCGGCCACGCTCAATGGCCAAAGCTTTACTCCTATTGGTAGCTAAGCAGACAACTTACTCTAAGTCCATTGCCTAAACCGAGAATGATCCACCAAATACCAGCTTAAGTTCATTGTTTAAGGTTCATGGGGCCCGGAAGGGATTCAGTTTGTGAAGATCAGAGCTTTTGTCCTGCTGGGGTATGATCCTAAACAGTTCCCTGTAGAGACAAGTATTGGTGTTTTGACGCACTCTAAAGAAGTTGAAGGACCATCCACTTGGACTTGAAAGCCTTTTAGTGATGGAATCCACACTTGTAGACAAAAGGCTGCTAAGAAGTGTGTGCGTGCGTGCGTGCAGTGAAATCTTATGGCTGTGGATGCCCCGACAGTGGAGCTGCAGGTTGACAGGCTTATCAAGTTGGAAAGGACAGTGCAAACCTCTTTGCCCCTCTGTCCTCAAGAAGAGGGACTCGGAGAGCATCAGCGTCCATCTCTAATGGATCTATGTCCCCTTCCTTCCCAGCTTGTCACATCCTGGAGTGTTGTGATGGGCTGGCCCAGGATGTCATTGGCTCCATCGGACAGGCCTTTGAGCTCCGGTTTAAGCAATACTTGCAGTGTCCTTCCAAGATTCCTGCTCTTCAGGACCGGTGAGTAGCCCCGAGGCAACTGTTGGCCTTGGCTCCACTGTATTTTATGAGCTTTCCTCTGAATGCTGTCTCACCCGGGGTTGTGCTCTGGGCAAGCCCAGTTCATCACAGAGCTTCCCTCACTTACAGATACCTGGTCAACACTGGGACAAGGCAGATAAAAGCCAGTGTGTGGATGATGTTTGGAATCTGCAGAAACATTTCTTGTAACTAATAGTGATGGTCGTCAAGGTTACAGAAGAGTGACTTCATTGTGATTTTTTTTTTTTTCATTCAATTTTCTCTGCAACCATGTGATGCTCCCATATGTCGCCTCCTTGGATCTATGTCACCACAGGTTCCTTACATCCTGCTGCAGGAGGCGCCTGCTGGCTCCCAACCTGTTTCTGCTTTACTGGGCTTAGTTTCACAGCGGCTCTGCAGCATGTTCCCTTTTGGTGTGGCTCTGGGACTGCTCTCCACTCTCTCTGAACCCCAGCCATGTTGGGTGTAATATAGAAATGATAGTGAATGTGAACAATGAATGTGAGGTATGTAGTTTATTACAGAATATGTTCAGGGTTTATCTCATGTACCCACCTACTTGGTCTCTGTCACTTTGCCTTTGCTCATGGTCAAATCAAGCAGATCAGTGTTATGGACTGTTCTATGCCTGGTTTCACTTCCTGAGCTCCTGGTGAACTCCCCTTCCCACCTGCTACTGGTGGAGCTCCGAATGCCAACTGCTGCTGGGGTATCTGGTCACTTTGCTGTCTCTGCTGCTTCCCTGTGTCCACGGGTCTTCCTCTGCCATCAGCCTGTCCTCTCTTATTTCTGGGATCATGGTCTCTCTACTTCACCCTGGCTACCGATTGTCCATTTGTTTAAACGTGTCCATGCCCTATTCTGCCACCTTGTTTCTCTGCCACTCAACATTTTAAAAAGATTTGCTCACTAATTTGAGAGGCGTAGAGACAAAGGAGAGACACAGGCATACACACCACCTTCTGGTTCACTTCCCAAATGTCCACAACAGCTGGACTAAAGCCAGGAGCCATAAGCTCAGTCCGGGTCTCCCATGTGAGTGTCAGAAAGTCGGCCACCTGAGCATCACCACTGTGTCCGTGAATCTGTTGAGATAGGAAGGTTGAGATCAGGAGCCCTGAGATGGGGTTTGAATCCAGACACTCCTGTTAGGTTAAGAGCCTATTGAGAGAAAGAGAGTCTTTTAATTTAGGCAAAGAGTTTTATTACGGGAGGAAGAGCCTGATGGATTGATCATTGGCAGGAGGCAGCTTGGGACCTCTCCCTGTGATGTCAAACAAATGGCCACCCAAAGTGTACAGCACTGGGCCTTTACACATCTTGGCTGTGGATGGGAGAAGGTAGCAGTTCCTAGGTTTGGGCATATGTGTGACATGTAGCTCAGGTACTCCTCATGACAGGCACTCCTCCTTCTGTGTAGAAACAAGGTCTGGGTGGTCCAGCATGCTAAACATTCCCGGGTCAGAGCGTCAGCTTGACTTGAGCAGGGTGCTGGAGTCACTTCTACTCTGCCCAATTTAACAACTCTGACGTAGGTTACAGGTGTCTCAGCTGGTGTCTTAACCACGAGCCCAAACATCTGCCCCTAAGAGCTCAGGAGTGGAGGTACAAATAACTTTCATATACGTTATTACGGTTTTATGTATTTTTTCAGTGTTTGTGTAGGCATCAAATACGTGCTGTTCTGAAATAACATGAGTGCTTGGCATTGTGGCACAGCCTGTTAAGCTACTTGCAATGCTGGATTGAGTCCTGGCTGCTCCACCTCCAATCCAGCACCCACTAATGCCCTGGGGAGTAGTGCAAGAAGCCCCACCCACGTGAGAGAGCCCAATCGTGGTTCGGGGGTCCCGGCTTCTGGCCTCTGGCCAGGTTCACTAACTGTTGGATTCATTTGGAGAGTGAACCAGTGAATGGAAGATTCTCTGTCTGCTTTTTCAAATGAATAAAATGAATCTTATAATGAAACCAAATAATAGATACACAAAGGAGTAGGAGCAGTTACTTGCACAATTGTATCCCTCTGGCAACACACTTAGGCATCAAGTCCTGTGTATATTTGCAAACAATACCGTCTGAAGAACTTCCAGGAAGCAAAATTAAGCAGACAGGACCTTACCCACTGGGAACAAGCAAATATCAACATGTAATCTCTAGAGCAAAAGGAACAGGGTCCTCCTTGTAGATTTATACTGCAAGTGCTCGCCCTGCTGGTCTTATTGCCACTCAGACACACCCATCTGAGTCAGAGGGAGGAGGGGGCTCTGGGACTTGCTCCACCCACTTCTCCAGGCTCATGAGGAGCAACCTGGGGCAATGAGAAACTTCACTCCAGAACCCCAAGTACCCGGGCTGTGGGCATAGACCACACTGACAGGGTTTCCCTCTGAGGCATCAATGTTCTAGGGATAAGACAAGAGAAGGGCTTCTGTCTGGATTTTCTGCTCACTCCCTCATGTTACATTCATGTCTTTGCCCACATCCTCCTGGGGTGGCGACATGGACAGCGAATAGGTGAGGATGGAGAGAGTGTGGCAATGTTAGAGACTAGCAATCTGAGAGGGAACCTGCCTGCTGTCCGTGTGTGGAGTTGGATTCCTGTTTCTCTTTCCTTTTAGTTGTCCTGTATCTATTGGCTGGTGAATTATTCTTTCTCTATTGTGTTGATTCTCCAGGCAGAGTCTTTATGATTTCGATTCTTCATCTATCTTTAGCTGGAAATTGAAAAATAGTACTTAAAAGTGAATGAGGTTTTTGGGTAAAGCCTGATTTTTTTTTTTTCTTGCAGAAATCCAAGGACATTTCAATAAAAACCAGGGAAAACAATGGGAAATAAATCATACGTAGCTAAAAGCTCCACTTCTCATATTTAAGCATGATGTCATTCATAGCCTTCTCAAGTCAGAGGTCCGGTGGGTTTTGTATATTCAAAGGCTGCGCAGTCATCACCATGAATTCAAGAGTGTTTTCCTCCCTCTGAAAGGAAGCCTGTCCCCTTAGGCAGTCACTGCCTGCATACTCTGCCCTCTTCTCTCCAGGAAACCACTAATCTTGGCCTCTTGCAGATTTGCCAATTCCAGATATTTCAGATCATTACACTGTGTATTAGGCTTCTTTAACTTTGAAGAATGCTTTTAGGATTCACCATATTGTGGACTCTTCTTCTTCTTTGTATTAATGCAGCATTTTTACTTACCCTCTTGTGAGTTCACAGACATTTGGGTTGTTACCACTGCTTAGCTCCTAGGAATAATGCTGTTGTGAAGATGTATGTATGCAAGGTCTTGTGCAAACATGTGTTTCAATATTCCTGTGTGTAGACCTCAGCATTGGATTGTTGAGCTAAGGTTTTTTAGACATTTCCCAGCTCTCTTTCAAAGTGGCTCCATCATTTTATACTCCCATGAAGTTAGAACGCAGGCATGAGAATTCTAACATTTTCACATCTCTGCCAACACTTGTTATGGTCTTTGTTATTGTAGCCATCCTAGAGGGAATGAAATTGTCTCTGATTGCAATTTAGATTTGTATTTCCTGGTGATTGATAACATCTTGCATCTTTCATGTGCGTAGTGGTAACTGTGCATCTTCTGTGGAGGAATGTGTGCTCAAATCCTTGGCAACTTTTAAAGATCTGTCTTTTAATTGTTTATGTGTTCATTGAATATTCTGGACACGTGTCTCTTTTTGGATACGTGATTAGCAAATATTTTTGCCCATTTTTGTGAGTTGCATTTTTATTTTACCAGGGAACTTCTTTGAAGGACAAGGTTTTTTCTAATGTTTTTTAAAGATTCAGTTATTTTATTGCCAAGGCAGATTGACAGAGAGAAAAAGAGACAGAGTGAAAGATCTTCCATCCTCTGGTTCGTTCCCTAAAAGGCCGTAAGGGCCAGATTTGAGCCAGTCTGAAGCCAGGAGCCAGGAGTGTCTTCCATGTCTTCTACATAGGTGTAGGGTTCCAGTGACTTGGGTCATCCTGGGCTGCTTTCCCAGTCCATAAGTAGAGAGCTGGGTTAAAAGTGGAGCAGCAGGGACACGAACTGGCACACATATGAGATTTGGCGCGTGCAGGTGGAGAATTAGCATTTTGAGCCACCGCACTGGCCCCAAGTGTTTCAAATTTTGTTGAAATCCAATGGGATTGCTTTTCCCCTTGGAGTGAGGTTGCCTAAATGAATGGTAAGGATTTATGTCTGTGTTCCTCCTAAAAAGTTCTATCGTTTTGACTGTTACTGTTAGGTCTTTAATTCATTTGGAGAGAGAGAGAGAATGAGTGTGTGTGTGTGTGTGTGTGTGTGTGTGTGTGATGGCACAGATTCTACCTCATTCTTCCACATATGGATATCCAGTTACTCTGAGACCATGTGGTAAAACACAGACTTTTCAATAACAGCAGACCACAGATACACGGGTCTATTTCAGAAATACCAGTTCTGTTCCATTGAGCTATATGTCTATTCTTACATCCTTTATACTCTATGGCACAGTCATAAATACTGTATCTTTGTAAGTATGAGTCCCCTAGTCCTGTTCTTTTTCAAGATTGTTTTGACTATTTTAAGTACCTCACAATTCTATTTGAATTTCAGACAGCTTGCAAAAAAGACAGTTGGAATTGTGACATGGATTAGGTTGTGTCTGTAGAACAAGTTGAGGATTAGTCTCATGTTAACTATTTTAAATCTTCCAGTCCATGAATACAACACATCCTGCCATTTATTTAGATCTTTCTTATTTCTTTTGATAAAATTTTATAATTTTCACTGCATGGATTTTTGTATTTTGGGGACAAATTTTCTCTTAAATATTTTATTCTTTTTGATACTTTAGTATATCCAAGTGTTTATTAATCTTATTTTTTCATTAGTAGTGTTTTTTAAAAAAAAGATTGATTTTTTAAAATTTTTATTGGAAAATCAGGTTTACAGAAAGAAGGAGAGACAGAAAGAAAGATCTTCTATCCACTGGTTCACTCCGCAAGTGGCTACAATGGCCAGAGCTGAGCTGATCTGAAGTCAGGAGCCAGGAGCTTCTTCTAGGTTTCCCACGCAGGTGCAGGGTCCCAAGGCCTTGGGTCATCCTTGACTGCTTTCCCAGGCCACAGGCAGGGAGCTGGCTGGGAAGTGGAGCAGCCAGGATACAAGCCAGCACCCACCTGGTGTCCTGGAGATGCCAGATGTGGATGAGGCATTATGCTATCACACCAGGCCCAAATCAATTAATTTTGTATGCAGATTTTTATTGTCCTTCAGTCATGGTCGACTAACTTATTAGCTGTAAAGTATTTTTGTAGCACTTTAGAATCTTAAAGTCTATATTGTCCATCATGTGCAAATAGAGCTAGTTTTTCCTTATTCCTTTTTAATCTGGGTTCCATTTGTTGTCTCGGGTAGAGCCACCAGAACCAATGTGAGTGAAAGAGGCAAGAGGAAGATCACAGATGCCTTTGTCTGGAATGCCTTTCTTCCAAATTGGTAGAGTATTGTCATCATACAGATGTGTTGGCTCTTATTAAATGATGATTGCTTTGCTCCTAGATGTAAGCCACACGTCATGGTGGGGATTTCAATCAGTATCTTCAACATTGGTTTGGATTTCAGTAACATATGAAGTCTTGCCCCTCTCTAATCCCATTGCTTTCTCCATGCACTGCGATGTTAACATTTATGGAAAATTACATTTTCGTGTACTATGTCCTCATCAATAGACATTTATAATTACTTAGAATGTTTGCTTTATTTAGCTGCTTTTTAAATGAGAGGAGATGAATGAGAGAGTTCTTGGCAAATTTACATTTATGCTTTGCAATTAACTTTATTGTTCCTTTGTATTTCTTCGTCTTTTTCATTCCAGTCTAAAGCACTCTGTATTTCTTGAAGGGAAGGTTTGTTCAGGCTAACTTTTCTGCATCTTTATCTGAGAGTATGTTCATTGAAGCTTTGCTGTTGAAGGATCGTTTTATGCCTTGGAGTTCTTGGTAGACAGTCTTTCAGCAGCGGGTTTCTGTCCTTCCACTGGCTTCTGCTCTCGCATTTCTGGCAAGAAATCGGCTGGTAACATTACTGATGATCATGTACATGTTGTGAGTGGCTTCTCTTGTTGCTTTCAACTCTATCTTTGGCTTCAAACAGAGTGAGTGTATTTCTTTAAATTTATCTTAAGTTTTTTTTTTTAAGCCAACTGTATATATAGATCAGTATTTTCCACTGGTTTGGGAAGTTTTCAGCCATTATTCTTTGAAATATGTTTTCTTGCTTTACTGATGTTTCCTCTCCTCGCAGGACCCTGTCAGGTGTAAGTCAGGAGGCCTAATGGTGTCTTGGAAACTTCTCAGATCCTGTATGCTTTTCTTGATTTTTTTTTTCTCTTTATGGTTCTTATGCTGGATAATCTCAACTTCATATGCTCTCATCCTGAATGAACCTGCTGTTCATTTCATGAAACAATTTTCGACTCTAGAATTTGCATAATGTTAAATTATCTTTGTATTCCTGTTGCCTTCCTTATTTGATGAGGTATTATTCTATGCTTAGTTTTTTTAAATGTACTGTTTCTTTTAGACCTTTAACATTTTTTAAAGTAATTAATCGAGAGTCTTTGTTTAGTTAGTCTGCAGTCTGAGTTCCTCAGGGAAAATTTCTATTGATTGTTATTTTTTCCTGGACATGAGTCATACTTTCTTGTTTCTGTGCATGACTCACAATATTTTGTTAAGACTGGGGATTTAAATAATATAATGTGCTACATTGAAAATAAAGTCTATCCCTTCCGCAGAGTTGGTTGTTATTGCTGTTTGTTTCGCTTATTTTGTGGCTTTTTCTGAAATTGTCCTCTAATGTCTGTATTCTCTCTAATATATAAAAGGACGTCAAATGGTTATGGAAGAGTGGAATTAAAAGTTAAATTTATATTGGTGTGATGTATTGGAATCCATGTGTTTTTTTTAAGAAACAGAAATTAATTATTTTTATTTAAAAAGCAGATTTTTTTTAAAGATTTTTTTTTTATTATTTTTTCATTGGAAAGGCAGATATACAGAGAGGAGAGACGGAGAGGAAGATCTTCCGTCCGATGATTCACTCCCCAAGTGAGCACAACGGGCCAATACTATGCCGATCCGAAGCCAGGAGCCTCTTCCGGGTCTCCCACGCGGGTGCAGGTTCCCAAAGCTTTGGGCCGTCCTCGACTGCTTTCCCAGGCCACAGGCAGGGACCGGTGCCCATATGGGATCCCGGGCGTGCAAGGCGAGGACCTTTAACCACTTGCGCCACCGCGCCGGGCCCAAAAGCAGATTTTTTTTTTTTAAGTTGAAAGGTAGATATACAGAGAGAAGAAGATGCAGAGAGAAAGATCTTCCATCCACTGATTCAGTCCCTAAGTGACCACAACAGCTGGAGCTGCATTGATCCAAAGCCAGAAGCCAGGAGCCTCTTCTAGGTCTCCCATGTGGGTGCAGGGTCCCAAGGCTTTGGGCCATCCTTGATTGCTTTTCCAGGCAACAAACAGGGAGCTGGCTGGGAAGTGGAGCATCCAAGACACAAACCGGTGCCCACATGGGATGCCAGAGATTACAAGGTAGGGATTTGGCCACTACGCTGTCATGCATGGCCCCAAAAGGTAGATTTTTTACAGCGAGAGAAGGAGATACAGAGAAAGATCTTTCATTCATAAGTTTACTCCTCAAGTGGCCACAATGGCAGGTGCTGAACCGGAGCCTGGAGCCAGGAGCTTCTTCCGGTTTCTCACATGGGTGCAGGGGCCCTAGCTTTTGGGCCATCCTCCATTGTTTTCCCAGACCACAAGCAGAGAGCTGGATTGGAAGTGGAGCAGCTAGGATGTGAACCAGTACCAACAAGGGATGCCGGCGCTTGCAGGCAGGGGATTAGCCTGATATACCATCATGCTGGCTTCTGATTTTTTTTTTTTCACGATATTCATTTTCCACGAAGTTTTGTAAGATCCCTCATATGCTCATTTTCCATGAACTTCTTTGTAAGACTCCTCACATGGTATTCTTGGCTCTATTTGGTTAGGTTATTATCAGAGAGGTGTTTCTGAAATTTCAAGGAATTCTCACGTCTGTCTTGAGTGGGCACATGACCTGGCTGAGAACACAGCTTTCCACACGCCTGAGCCTTCTCGATTCCAGGACCATGTCAGAGCTATGCAAGTCTTGGTGAACACTGAATTCCCTAGTTCTCCTCAAGCTTTGACCCAAATGTTAGACAACTGCCTGTGACTGTTTTTGACAGATGCCCCTGGGGAAAGAAAAACTTTGCCCTGAGCCAGCTCCAAATCAGGTCAAATAAACAAGCCTGGCAGCTGGGTCTTGCAAGCCAGCAAGGATCGGAGGGGTCCAATCATGACCCTTCTCTTGGAATATGGCTTTGAAGGTGCATCAGGGCCATTGCGCCCTGGCTGTGGCTGCTGGCGTGCCGGTTTGCACTGAGATTCGGGGCTGCTGGTTTTCCAGGCTACCAGAGGTGTGGAAACAAGTGATTAAAATGCTGCAAAGATAATGTTTTTGTGTGTGTTTTTTTCAGCTGTTCATGTTTTGTTTTCTTAAACAAGCACTATCTAGCTTACTTAAGCTTCTGGATCATGTCCAGAGTTTTGGCAAAGTTGGTTTTGAAAAAAGATTTCTTTGTGCCAGTTTTCTTGTTGCTTTTATTGAGAAGAGAATTATTGCAGGTCCTTCCTTTGCCATCTTCTCAGTTGCTACTAAATCTCCATTCTTTTTTTCTTTTTTTTTAGTTGATTTTTTGCTTTGGGTAAATTTCACGACTTACTGAAATGTGTACCCGGCTGTGTGACTCTGGTTATCTTTAGACATACATTATGTCTTCCTTAGTTAAAATGTACTTTTCAAAAAATAGCCTATTTCAAATCGGGTAGGAATTTTCCAGTAGGTAGAGATATTTGACAAAGCCATCCACCTGCTTTTTCAAACATACCTGAGAACTGGGTGGCTGGAGGGGACAGGAACTAAACTGTCATTCCTAGGGAACAGATACTAGTGTCAGATTTTAGTTTTGATCCCCAGCTCACTTTTTCGCTAAAGCCTTTGAAAATCCCCTTTTCACAGAATGCAGAGTCTGGACGAGCCTTGGACAGAGGAGGAAGCGGAGGGCTCCGACCACCCATACTACAACAGCGTCCCCAGCAAGATGCCTCCGCCAGGGGGCTTTCTAGATGCTCGGCTGAAAACCAGACCCCAGGCTGCTGACACAGCCCACGTAAGCCAGTTGTTTGCCCTTGGATGGCGGCTAACTGAATTGTACTTCCTCTTATTTAATTTTCATTTAATTTCAGACTGACATTCTGTTCAGTTTTTGACACAGTAACTCACCAGCTTTCTTTCATTGGATTTCACAAAGCACACAAAGAATGAAACCTAGTTTTTTCTTTTTTTTTTTAAGCGTTGCAAAGCATTGGTCATATGCCCTGGAGCTGTATTGTGACTTGGAGATATGACTTTTCAAAGGCCTAGTGGTTTACATTCTCTGAAAAGAGAACGAGTGCTGATTCTTCAATTGATAGGAGTTGGTTTCTGCTTTATTCATTCCCTTTATTTTCCCTCCAACTGAAACTTTCAGAAGGCAACTGCTTTTAGAGTCACAATATTTCTACTTGTATCTCATTATGGAGACATTTTTAACATAATCTACCTTATATAAATAATAATGGGACGAATAAAAAGGGCAACATAGCACTGAAATGAAGGATTTGACCCTTCAGAGAATTTCTACGTTTTCAGACACTGGGTTTGGCTGAGAGTATAGGATTATGTTTATGTGGGAGGCACACACAGTCCTTGCCTTACAGTGACTGAACTTAAAATTATTTCACTTCGTGGTGATGCAGAAGAGTCATGCATTCAGTAGTTGCCCTCCCTGGAATATTCAGTTTGGATCTTTCCCAGCTGGTGGTTCCATCCTCTAGTGACGCTGGGTGATGGCAGTGAGCAGCCTTGGGTCAGTCCAGTGGGCTTCAAGGGATCCCCAGGGATTTGCAGGGTACCGCTGAGCTAGGAGGTGTGGGAGGTCAAGAGGAAGCAGGCAGTGTAGACTACACAACTTTCAGCTTAGAACAGGTTTATTGAAATGAATCCCACTCTCAGTGGAGGAGTTTTGACACACAGGTGCTCCCCAGTTGAAGTTAAGCTGAGTGATGTGACTAATAGATATAGAAAACTTTGGTATACAGACACACGTTTTGGAGGAATCGTGGGGAGGAGGTCATGAAAACAGAAGAAACGGGTGTGTGTGGCTTTGGTGGGGGTGCTGCCTTTTTCTCACACCCACCCAGACTTGTTGCCTACAAATTATTGCTAACCATGAGGCAGGAAGGGAACGTTGGGGACAATAGAGAATGTAAATGTGCCCATCTCCAGGGTCCTGTCTTGTGTCCTGTGGCAGTCAAAAATGAGATCATTCTGTGTGTCTGTGTATAATTCTCTCACACGTATCTACAGTTTTCAGGAAAAGAGCAAACATACTACCAGGGAAGGCACTTGGGAGATGCATTTGGCGAAGACTGGCAGCAAACACCAGTCAGGCAAGGTGAGAAATTTTTTGGGAAAGAATTAAACAAAACAAAAAGCTTCTGAAAAAGTGATGTGTTTACCTGGTAAGGCCTCCACTTTCTCGGGAAGGGGGCTGGGCAGGGTGACACCCTGGAAATATATGTTGTGGATGGTGTATCCACTTGTTTTCTGTTGTTGAAATAAAATGCCTAACACTGGGGCCTTGGTAAAGTACAGAGTATTGCACGTGCTTGCCTGCAAGCTGTGTCACATCATGGCAGGTGATATCATGGTGGGAGCACAGGCGAGAAGGAGAGGTCCCATGATGAGACAGGAAGTCAGGGAGAGGGAAGGAGCCAGCCATGCTCTTTTGTAACCACAATCTCTTGTGAACTAACTAGGGTCACAAAGAACCACCTTAATTGCTTCTGAAGGCATATCCCCCAACTACCTAACTGGTTTCTTTGGGTGCTGTTTCTTCAAGGCCCCAACTCCCACCACCACTACATGGAGGACGAACTTTTTGGCATGGAAAGTTTTAGAGGACACGCCACATCCAAACCATAGTAGGAGCGCTGGAGAGTCCCAACTAGAGCACAGAATTAAAAACACTGTCACAGATATCCTTCGGCACAGATCTAAAGGGGACATCCTATAGTACCAGATCCAGTTCATACCGTGTCAGCACTTGCCCTTTCCAAACACCTGCTACTGTCAGCTGAAGGGTTGCCCTGATGGACAACTTTCTTGCTCGGGACTGCTGAGGAACTGACTTCCCAGGAGCATCACTGCTGGTTTCATCCTTCTCCAAGTTCTCACTGCCTCTCTTTCCTTGTCTCACTCCCTTCCCACCTCCCCACCACTCAAGGTGAGCACCGAGGCTCTTGGCCTTTCATGAGTCCTGCCAGTGCTTTTAGAGGGTGCTTATCACACTTGGCAACGGAAGCACACACTGAGCGTAATCTACATGTAACCACATCTAACTTAGATTTAACTATCTGTAATTTAGGTGCCTCAAAACAACTAAGATATACCAAGCTAGAACTGTAATAATTTAGATAGCTGTAAGAACCAGCTGCTTACTTCTCACATAAGCTCTCATTCTCTGGACAGTTATTTATATTCACTTATATGTATTTATGCATAGATCATATCTGTAATTTGTCAAGTATCCTATTATTATTTGCCATCTATATCTGTTACATATCCAACCTTTAATCTGTCATTTATCTATGCTTAAAATATTTCAAACTTTCAAAAAATCTTGTAGATTTTCTGTAGCTCCAAATCTTGCCATCTAGGTTTATAGATTGTAAGACAATGGATCCCACTGATATTTTTGTACATATGAATTTTATAAAGTGATTTACTCTAACTCTTTGAAAGGCAGTTCTTACACACACACACACACACACACACACACACACACACACACACACAGCTGGAGGAAGAGAGAGGATGAGAGAGAGAAGCAATCTTCCATCCACTGGTTCGCTTCCCAAATGGTCGCAACAGCCAGGGGTGGACTAGCCTGAAGCCACAAGCCAAAAGCTTTATGTAGGTCTCTAACGTGTGTGTCCAGCACAAGTGTCATCTTCTGGTGTGTTAGCAGGGAACTGAAGCAACCAGGTCTCAGAGTGGACTAGGATTGCCCTGCAGTGCTGGCCTTACACATATGAATTTGACATGGTTATGTGTGCCTGTCCCATCTTTGTACCTGCTACCATCTTTACTTGGAAAGTCCTGACAGGAAAATCATTCATCTTCCCCTTAAAAAAAAATTAAGTTTGTGACATTCTTTTCTGAAGACTGACTTGTTTGCCATCTAGATAAATGTTTAAGCTGCAGCTAGTGGTCCCTCAGAAAGGTTAGATAACCCAAGAACAGCCCCTTCAACATAGAAGTCAAGGTAGGACTAGGAGCTCAGAAGATCTTAACATTTCAAGATTTAGCGGGTGTTGCTCTGTAGCAAAGAAATCTTTGCTTGGCCTTTCATCCTCCACTGGGAAGCAAAAGGTTGGTGCCTAAAGGATGTTGGGAAAGCTTTTTGAAAACTCTGAACTGACTCCATGACAAACACATACAGCAGGATTCAACACATAGGACATTCCAGACGTTCTCCTTACAGACCCGTGAGTGCCACAGGTGTCCTTGTGAATGTTTGTCAGTGGATTGAAGAGACCGCACACATGGTGACCCAACAACCAGTATCTCTGGGTGACAGCGCAGGTGGGGATTCTGGGCCCTACCTCAGCCACACCATTTGGGAAGTCCCACCGAGGTCATGTCACTGCTTCAGAGAGGGGGAGTTCTCAAGCACACACTCATCCTGGGATCTGTTTGTAAGACCAGCTCAGCAGTGCCAGCTCCATTTTGTAAGGAAGGCATGTCCTGTGGGATGTTCACATTCACTTCCACTTAAAAGCAAACAGTTGAAATGAGATTCAACTTGGGGTTCTGCTCAGGTCTTTGATCTGGTAGCACTTTGTAAGGAAGAAGAAGCGGGGCATCTCTGCTCTGCTGGGGTAGTGAGACTTGAGTCTTTGGGAAGGCCCCCCATGATCAGTGTCTATCCTGATATCGGCTGGAAGATCACAGGTGGCCGTGAGGGACTGGAAAGCATCCTAGTCAGGACACAGGAGTGTGTTGTGACAAGCCCGGAAGAGGAGACTTGGTCCGTGGGATTCTGCAGGAAGAATTTTCTCTACGGAGTGCTGGCTGGTGTAACCGCAGTAGCCGCTAGCAACTTTGTCCTAACCTAGACGGACCTCCTTGTCTTGTTACAGGATCCTTGGACATCTATAGCACGCCAGAGGGGAAACCACAGGCGGCCCCTGTGGGAGATGCACCCACCTACGTCAACACACAGCGCATGCCCACGCAGGCCCCACCAGCAGCGTCCAGCAGCACGGAGAGCAGCCCGCGCAGGGACCTCTTCGACATGAGTGGGTTTCCCTTTGTCTCTCGTCTTATTTTCTTTAAGACTGCTTTTGATTGCACCTGGTGTGAGAACTTTGAGTGGCTACTGCGGTTTCTGCTAGCAGGGTTTTGATGAATGGTGTGGATGACCTGCCCTTTTCCCGGTGCGGGACTTGGGCCAGGAGGTAGGGGTACTGGGAGGCTTTGAGGTGCAACACCTTCTGCAGTCACCCTTCTGTCCCGCTGTTAGGATTGGACTTTCCTTGGGAGGATCTGCATGAATATTGGGACACATGACATGTAAGGAAATGTGTCCATATATATTCATTTAGATATTCATCCACTATTTAGAAGTGAGACATCATGTCTCTTTCTCCACAGAACTCTCAATCTGTTGAGCAAGACAAACATACAAGCGAGAAATCGCAATGTAGCTCTGAATTTGGAGAGTTCTTTCCCCTGTGCCATCTTCTCTTTCTCTCTGTGTCTCTATTTCAATCATTCTGCCCCTCTCCAAATATTAATGAAGCACCTACTATGTGCCAGAAACCTTCTTACTTACTGAAGTGTTACATATATATATAAATCCCTATTCCCATGGATTGAAATGAACAACCCTGCCTTCCCAGGGCCAGGAGAGTGGTGGTGGGAATCCATGGGGACTCAAGGTGCAGGAAATGTGCACCACGGGCTTTCTTTTTGCCATGTGGGTTAGTAAAATTAAATCATTCATGGACTTATCCATGAAAGTGAAAATTGCTGTTAAAGAATGTGCGAAGAATTTCCCAGATCCCTTAAACCCTAAGTTTCTTCTTCTTTTTAAAAAATTCCTTGTGAATTGTACAGGCTTAAGAGGGTGGGGGAAAGAGAGCGGCACTGAAGATCCCACTACATCTTGGACAACTATGTTTTCATTAGTTTTCACAGTGACCTTCAAGTATGTGTTATTAATTCTGTCAGCATCCATTTTACAGAGAAGGACATGGAAAATATAAAGAATAAGTAAGCTTATCATTTGGTTTTTTTTTTTTAGATTTATTTGTTTTATTTAAAAGGCGGTGTTACAAGATAAAGAGAGAAAGGGAGAAGGAGAGTGAAGTCTTTTGTGTACGGATTCACTCCCCAAATGGCTGTCACAGCTAGAACTGTGCCAGGCTGAAGGCAGGAGCTCTGTTCAGGTCTCCCACATGGCAGCAAGGGCCATCTGCTGCTGCTTTCCCAGGTGCATTAGCAGGAAGCTGAATCAGAAGCCATGCGGTCAGGACATGAACCAGCTCTCATAAGAAATGTCAGTAGCATAGGAAATGGTTTAAACTGCTGTGCCACAGTCCCAGCCCACTTACTTTAAAAGGCAGTCCCACTGGTTGAATGCTTGCTATGGTGAGATTCAGTGTCACAAGGATCAGAGCTTTTCTGCTGAGGCTGCATTGTGACACCAATGGTCATGGTGGCTTCCCAGACACTGGACTCCTGGTTTGACTTCCAGGTATCACCTGAGTCGGAAGAAGCGCAGCACCTAAGTACTCAGAAGCACTTTATAGATACCTTCATCCAATTCCTTCACTTGACAATTGTGGATACAGCCCAAGATATGTGAAGTCATTTTACCACGTTGCAGAGCAAAGTTCTGGCTCTCCCAGCCTCCCTCTGCATGTTAAAGTTCTCCCCTTCCCCCACAGTTCAGTCATTATGCTTGTGGTTAGGTCATTTTTACTGGTTAATTTAGTCAATTTACTAATGGCTTTTGGCTCCAGAACCTGAAGAGAGTCAGATTAGGCTGGAGTTTGACATGATACAAATAAGAATCAGAGCCAGTATCTTCACATCAATTAGCTTCTACACCTGTTCCCAGAACCAGAGAAGGGAAGAGAGCACACAGAAGGGTCCATAGAAAAGCCAGTGTCTATGGAAGAGCATGGAAATGGGAAGAGCCGGTACTTTATGGTGTTTATCTTGAACCACTAGAGCTAAGTGATAATGCTGGTGATAATTATGCCAATGATGGTGATGACATAAATGGTGATGATGGTGATGACATATAAAGGTGATGATGGTGGTTTAGGTGAGGATGATGTAGATGGTAGTAACAGTGATGATGGTGATGCTGCTGCTGCTGATGATGATGACAATAGATATGTAATGACAGTGAGGATGGTGATGATGATGGTTACAGTAATGGTGATGGAAATGGTGATGATGGCGGTTATGGTATCAACAATGTAGATAATGATGGTGATAATGGTTATGGTGATGATAGTGTAATGGAGAGGTTGATTGTTATATGATGGTGATGTAAACGGTGATGATGATGGTATTAACAGTAATGATGGTGATGATGACCATGATGATGATGATAATGATAGTGAGGATGGTGGTGATGATGGTGATGCTGATGAAAAAGATGATGGAGTAGATGATCACTGTGGTGCTGGTGATGACAGCACAGACAATTTCTTCAGTGACACACTGGTCCTTTAGTAACAAGTTATTTAACTTCATGGAATTATACATTTTTTAAAACTTTATTCCTGTTGTTAATTTTGTTTTATGGCTTTTCATTTAAACAAGTGTATAGTAGAAGCTATCATATCCAGATGTGAAGGTACAATGCAGTACACATGTCTACTTACAAATCAAAGATGAACTCCCCAGGAAACTGTTAAATATACTTTAACAATAGGATAGTGAACTGTCTGCCGTTGTCTGTACTCACAATGTCAGGAAACACTTAAATAGCAGAATGATGGACTTATGACTGTTTATGGAGGACTATTCTATCCTAATAATATAGGGGAAACTGATGGTAGGGGAGAGAATTTGGGGAGGAGGTAAGGGAAATCCCAGAGCCACAGAACTGTATCATAAAATTTTAAAAAGTGAATGTGAAGATGATAGGGATGGCGGTGAAAACTGGTGATAATAGCAGAAGAGTAGGTAGTTCAGAAGCAGCGTGTAAAATGAATTTTCTACCAATCCAGATAATCAGTAAAATAATAAGATGAAAAGAGGAAAAATATAAACATAATTATGGCCAGTAGATTTAACCTCTTTCCCTCACCCCTGTTAAGTCTTCAAAAACTTGACCAAGTATCAGAAAAATCTAGTTTTTGTTTAGTTTACTCACCTAGTCTGTATCCTTGTCTATTAACATCTATCAAGCTTATTTTACAGCACGTGTTGAGTATTCGTAGAGTATGAACTGTGTCCAGGAATAATGGAGGGCCCTGGAGCTGTGTCATGACCTGTGGGAGACCATTCATGGTGGTTACACTGTCCCAAGTGGGCCAGTGTGATCCTAAACAGTCTTCCGAACACCAAGCTCTTGCAGAGCACTGTGCGTCTTTCAGGGTGCCTTTAGTACATCAACCATTGAACTTTAGTTAGATATACCTTCCTGTCTGCTGCTTTTTCCGCCAGGAGAAGGGCAGTTTGCCAATCCCTGGATGCCTTGCACTGAGAAGTGGCCTCCCATGTGGGTGAAGCCAATCCTGATGTCAGGCCCACATGCAAAAGACTTTTCTGCAGGGATGTGACAATCAGGGGGAGGTAGAGCTTCCAGCCTAGAGAAAGTTGCATAAAATCACCCGTTACATGTCAATTTAAACTGTTTGTCTGATGTAGAGGTGTAGAAGCAGACCTTTGGTGGGTTGAAGTTTTGTATGAAATCAAAGCTTTGTGGCTCACCATTTCCTGCGATATTGACAGACTCTTCTTCAGAATTTGTTAGAGAGATTCGCTGATCTTCATGAGAAAGTATTTGGGATTCAGTTTACACGATCCCTTACGGTATGCAAAATGAGATCCTTCTGCAATCTAGACAAGGTAATGTCTGGATCTTTGGCACAGTGTGTGCCTCCTTGCTGTCTGTGGAAAGCAGACTCAACAGAAAGAATCATGCCCAAATCCGGGCTGTGTTTTTAAGTACATGTCATGCCAAGTTTTGTCATGTTACCAACCACTTATTTTTTTACTTTTTTTCTTTAAAGATACATTTATTTATTTGAAAGAGTGACACAGTGAGACAGATACAGAGAGACCTTCCATCTAATGGCTCATTTCCCAAAATGACTACAGTTGAATCTGGGCTGGGTTAGAGTCAGGAACCAGGAACTTCATATCTAATCTCCCCCAAGGTGGCTGAAACTCATTCACTTGAGCTGTTATTTGCTGTTTCCCAGGAACAGTGACAGAAAACTGGATCGAAGTAGAGTATCTAGGACTCAAACCAGTTCTCTGGGGGGTTGAGGTATCCTAAGCCCAACCCACTGCGCCACAATGCCCACCTTGCCCCTCTAGTATATTTTTTGTTAATGGTGGAGTTGCCTTTGCATTCCTGCCTCTCACATTTTTTAAGTTTTATTTTAAAGTAGGGCTCCCAATGAAACTTATAAATACACCTGCATGTTGTGATACTAGGTTGTCTGCCTTTGACTGTACCTGTCATGTCATGACACATTCAAATACCAGAAAGGTAAACTTACACAGGGAAAAATGGCAAGAGGGGAAAATGAGGGGTGAGGAAGGGAGGGGGTGAGATCAATCCCTATACTTACAAAACTGTATGGAAAACAAAAGAAGAAATTTTATTTGACTTTTTAATTAGTTTATAACAGATTCAATGTGATTTGTAGATAAAATGCTAAGAATACAATGCTGTTCCCTTCTTCCTTCCCCCCTCTCTTTCATTCTTTCTCTCTTTTTTTAGATAACATGTTTTATATTTTACGTTATAATGAAAAGGCTTAATACTTTACCGAATAAGAAGTTTAACATGTAATAAGCAAAAAGACCCTAGTTTAGTGGGAATTTAGACAGTGATTATAAACAATTGAATGGAAAAAGGAGTATTTCACTCATGTATAATAAGTCTTAAAGTAACCACAGGTCATTAAAACAGCAGTAATAGAACATTCCATTTTTTAAAGAAAACTGCTGTGCCACAAGAATAAATGCTGTAAACAATAACCAAATCTCAAAATGTCAGTCACCCATAAAGATTATATTTTTTGTACTCTGTGTGGTTAGTCACCACTAATCAGGGAAAATAAGATATGTGTCTTTTTAGGACTGGGTGATTTCACTTAGCGTGACTTCCAGTTCATTCATTTGGTTGCAAGAAACAGGATTTCACTCTTTCATGGCTGAATCTTATTCCATAGCATATGTATACCAGTTTTCCTTATCTAGTCATCCACTGATGGATATTTGAGTTGATTCCATTTATCACCTATTGTGAATTGAGTATGCATGCGATAAACATGGGTGTATAGATGATTTTTGAATACTGATTTCATTTCCCTTGGATAGATTCCCAGGAGTAGGACATCTGGGTCATATAGCACATTGATTTTCAGATCTCTATTGGTTTACACTCCCACCAACAGTAGATTAGGACACCTTCCCCCTACGTCCTCTACAGCATTTATTGTTTCCTGATTGCTTGAATTATAGCCATTCATACTGGGATGAAGTGGATCCTCAATGTGGGTTTTCACTTTGCATTTTCCTTTCTTGGCCTGTTGGGACCTGACCTGTGCTGGCAAATGTTATTGTTGGCAGGACCTTTCGAAGATGCTCTCAAGAACCAGTCCTTAGGGCCTGTGTTGAACAAGGCTGCCTCTGTGGAGTGCATCAGTCCCGTCTCACCCCAAGCTCCGGATGCCAAGATGCTGGAGACGTTGAAGGATGAGCCCTGGTACCAAGGAGAGATGAGCAGGAAGGAGGCGGAGGGGCTGCTGGAGAAAGATGGAGACTTCTTGGTCAGGAAAAGCACTACCAACTCTGGTTCCTTCGTGCTCACAGGCATGCACAACGGCCAGGCCAAGCACCTGCTGCTTGTGGACCCTGAAGGCACGGTGAGTGCATAGCAAGATGGCACAGGACTGTGGCAGCCTGGTCACTCTTCCAGTGGATGATTGAAGCCTTCAGACTGGAACCAGATGTCAGAAACCCACTGTTAGGGCCCAATGCTAGTTACAGAATCTGGGAAATGTCGTGGTCCAGTCTGAAAGCCTTGATATATACGTCTGACTGCCTGCCTATCCACCTACTACCTTCCTTTCTTTCTTCCTTCCTTTCTTTTTCTTCCTTTCTTTCTTTCTTCCTTTCTTTCTTCCTTTCTTTCTTTCTTTCTCTCTTTCTTTCTCTCTTTCTTTCTTTCTTTCTTCCTTCCTTCCTTCCTTCCTTCCTTTCTTTCTTTCTTTCTTTCTTTCTTTCTTTCTTTCTTTCTTTCTTTCTTTCTTTCTTTCTTTCTTTCTTTCTTTCTTTCTTTCTTTCTTCTTTCTTCTCTTCTCTCATTCTCTCTTCTTGATTCCCTCCCTCCTTATTTCCCTCCTTCCTTTCTTCCCCCTTCCTCCCTCTGCTTTTTCTTTCTCTCTCTCTCCTTCTTTTCTTTCTTTTTCTCTTTCTTGGATCTATTGCCTGTGTTTATGCCTCTCAGAAATCTGCAAGCATGATATTGTTTCACAGATTGCTTTATAGGTATTTCCTTTTTGCTTGATGTGTGTTTTAGGCATTCTGCATTGGATTGTAGCTTCGATGGGTTGCACATGCCCCTCATGTCACTCACTGAGCTCTTGAGAAGTAAGTTTAGGCTGTTGAACCCTCGTGAATGTTCTCCCCTATAGCTGGGCAGTCTTCTTAGGAGGGTACTTGGGTGGGCTTTCAGAGCACAGGAAAAGCATACATGTAACTTCATGGGGTTTGAATTTGCGTCCAGGATGGCTTGGTGTCTCAGGTACAGACATGGTATCTTCCTGCATTCTTGCCGCTTCATGGAATTATCTGTCTAGTAAGGAGCCCAGGGATAATGGCTTTGGCTGAATCTCCTTTGCAAATTAGTGGGTTTCTTCTGTAAAATTTTTGTCTTTCCCCCCTGTTTTCTTGTGATTTCCTATTGAGTTTTTCAGCAATGGGGTTTCCCTAGGTGTTCTCTTCTCTCCTGACACCTTGTGATGTACTTCACCAGACGGAAGTTTTGCTTGGGAACATCCTGGGATTCTGTCAGTTTTTCCCTTTGTGGTTTGTATTTCAGCATCTGTACAAATCACAAATATGCAAGGATTCAATATTGTCTTCTAGTAACTTTGTAGCTTTATTTTGCATAATTGGGTTTTTATTCCAACTGAAGGAACTTTGCATTATGATGTAAGAAAGGGACCTGACATAAAAAGAGACTATCTCGTGGGCTGCTTTTTTCTGCCATGGTCTGCTAAGCTGTTCATCTTTCCTAGGCTGCATCCATGTGCCTGCTGTACTGTGGAGAGTTCTCTCTGTTCGGATTCTTAGTTCTGTTTTCAGTTCACTCATTATTCCTTGTGCAAGTTTTTAATCATCAGGGCTTGGAGATTCCCCTAACATCTGGTGGTGTGATCACTTCCTCCCAGTTCTCTTGTCCAGCTTGTCCTTGCTGTTCTCAGACATTAATTCTTCATTTTGATTTTAGCATCGTTCAAGTCACCAAAAACACACATGCTGAAATTTTGATATGATTGACATTGAACACATAGAATCACTGGAAGGAGAACAGATGGTTCTAAATCTTGGACCATCCATCACATCCCTGAATGGGACGTTAGTCTTCATTGACTCAGTTCTTAAGAGGTCTCTTGTAAGAATTACAAGATTCTCTCCAGAAAGTTCATCTATTACTATGTTAGGCTATTTCCTGGTGCCTGGCTATCGTTCCTATTGTAAACGTATGGGATTTGTAAGGAGTTTCTTAGCAATTATTGCTATAACAAATCTTGACAACTCTAAAAAGGAACACTTGAAGAGGTTCTGGGTTTTTTTTTTTTTTCATTTTTTTGATTGACATATACTAGTTACACATTTTTATGGGCCACAGTACAATGTTTCAATAGAAATGCACAGCCTAAATGGATCCAGCCAGGCAACTGGCATTTCTGTTTCCTAATCTTCATGTTTGGAGCCTTCCAGGTCCTCTCTCCCTGTTCATTCTGGAGAAGATGGTCGTGATGGTGAGCTGCAGTCGCCCCACTCCACCATGCAATAGAAGACTGTCCTTTTTCCTGACTGGGTTTTGATGCCTTCTATCCTTAGTCCCCCTCCCCAACTCTTTCCAACCTCTGCTAACCAGAATTTTAAGTTCATGAAAACTTTTAAAAATTTTCCCCATGTGAGAGAAGAGGGTACTTTTGGTCTTCCCGTGTCTGGTTTATCTTTGTTAAGAACTGCAGTGGGTTTTGGGGAGATGACCATTTTCTCTCAAAGGACTTCACTAACTCATTCAGCCAATGTGTACTGAATGCCAACTAAATGCAGACATTATTTTTGGCACTTTGCGCACATCTGAAATAATTCAGAATGAAGATCTCAGCTCTTGTAGATCTTATATGTAACAGCCACCTAATTACATGCATAACCATAGGTCTTTAACGTCATCAAATATGTCTTCAGATTTTTTAGGTAATAATGTTGCTTTTGTTTTCTTAAATCCATAAATATAGAACCGATAGGAGCAGATCTGCTGTCACAAACCCTGCTTCTTCCTGATGTGGTAATTATGTGGATTTGATCATCAAATATTTTCCTTGGAAGTTTTTTTTAGTGTCCCCTCCTGGGTGAAATCCGTCCTATTTGTCTGCTGTTTTTGCTTGCCTGTGCTCATCTGGTGCAACGATCAAGGTGGCCCAGTCATGGACACTGCTTCAAATGAGCTAGCCTTATTCTAAGTGCAGAGAGCTTGTCACGGTAGTCTTTCATTTGATCTCCAATAGATTCTCCTGGATTTCTCCTTTATTCTGATTTACTTTTTGCTTTAAATCACTTCCACCAATAAGCATGTATTCATACATTTGATTGATGTTTGGCTGTCCCTCCTGCACTGGGCCATCGTCTCCATGAGAGTAGCATGGAGCCCATCTCCTAGAGCGGTGCCTAGCATGTGGCAAGCGTTCAACAAGCAGCAGCTGAATGAGCATGGAGAGCAGCCCTGGCCAGCTTGCACAGGTCAGGAATTGAGAGCCCAAGGAGGAGATGTTGGGTGTGAGGATACTCCTTGCGTGTGTAGGATCACAAATGACCCTCCTTTTTGGCTTACCTAGGCTCTGCTACAGTTTAGTGGGAGGAGAGAAAATACACAAGTGAGTCTATGAGAATATAAACCTGTCAGCTGAAAATTTTAGTTATTTAAGAAAACAGAAAGCTGATGTTGCTTCATAAACCAAATATTCCAAACACTTTTTGTTCACTCAGTTCTTATAGACCAAAAAATCCTTTTTAAAGAGAGGTATGTACTAATAGTAATACATTTATTATGCATTCACAAAGAAGTACCCAGATGGTGTCAAAAATAAGGAGGAAATAAACTTATGGCAATATGACAGGTTTCTAGCCAGCACTCAGAGCTGGGCTGCCAAGTGGTTTTAACCTTGGTGGTAGAATCTACCGTGCTATTGAGAAAATCGGAGTCCCAGCTACTCACGACTATCCTTTGGTAAGAGGAAACTCTTAGCTGAATCTGATTATCTACTTTAATGGATCATACGGAACACAGCGTTAGCCTAGGGAGAAAATGGAAATCAAAGACTTAATTACAAAAGTAATGTCACTTCCTCGTGCGAGACCCTAAAATAGATACTGAGCACATTCTCTTCAATATTTATTCATCTGATTTTCATGGTAATTGGTTGGTTCCTGACTAGAAAGGGGGAACTTGGCAGAACAGAGAGCTCAGAGAAATGAGGATTTGAAACAGTTCAGCATCTTCGTTGACCCCGGAGCCCACCAACTTTCAGCCTCCCTTGAACAGAGGACCCCGGAACCTCACTTCTCCCCGCCTCCCAGGCACAGGTGTGGGAAACTCAAGCCCTAAGCAGCAGCTGAGAGAACCGGAGATTGGGTCGGTCACAGTGGCCTCAGAGAGATGGAGTCTGGAACACTTGTTTTTCTTTTTCAGCATCTCTAGATCGGTCTGCCAGCCCTCCAGTGTCTAAAATTACTCCCTGAGTCACTCATCGCTGACTCATCCTCTGGCCTTGCGGGGCCAGCTCAGTGAGGCAGGCGCTGTCCCCCACGGGAAGGAGCCACAGAGCCTCCCAGGGCCTTGTTCCGTGGCTCTCAGGTCATTGCACATTCGAGGGCTCATCCCATCACAGAACAAGGATAACAGTTCCCACCCCACAAGAGTAATGATGAAAGCACCAAGTCCCCTCATGCCCTCTGCTTCTTTCTGACTTGCTGTTGTCCTCACGTTTCCTTTGAGTTCATCCCCTGGCCTAAGTTGAGTCTGACTCCGTGGGGGCTTCCTGCACTAGAGGTTCAGCACCCTCATGGACTCTCCCCACCTCCACTCCATGTGCCACACTGCTGCCCCCAATCCCTCATCCTCGGATGACTCAGGTCCCAGGCATTGTCCATCACAGGTGTATCTCCTCCACTTGCCTTCTCGCTCATTGGCTGGGGGGCACAGAGGGATGGGGAAAGCTTAATGGTTCTCACCTGGTAGGTGCCAACTCCCCTCGTGGTCCAGGAGTCCTGACCTGATGTGACAAGAGGGTGGGAATGCAAACTGTCCAGGGGGATGCTGAGTCCCCACAATGTGCCTTTTAAATTCTTGCTGATTCAATATAAAAAATGCAAACAGAAAATGCCAGAGAGAGGCTGCATGGAAATGCACTAGTCCTTTGTTCCTGTCTTACCTTCTTTCGCAGCAGTATCACTGCCAACAGTTCTCTTCTTTGCCCCAAGGAAATCCTGTGGACAGGGGCCACCCTATCCTAAGGGCACGTTAAACTGTCACTCTTTCATCCAGTAGTTTAAGGTAGCATTTCCTCATGTTGCAAGAGAAAAACTAAAGTTTAGGTCACTCTTGCTGCTGCTTTTGAGTTTTGGC